CTAATCCCACTCTCCCTCTCCCTAATCCCGGTAATCCCCTAATCCCATTATTCCCCCAATTCTGCCCCCCCCCCAATCCCCCTCCCCCCCAATCCCCCCCCCCTTAATCCCGGCCTCCCCCCTCCCCCCTCCCCCCTCCCCCTTTAGCCCCGCCCCCTCCCCGTTAGCCCCGCCCCCTTTCCCCGTGACCCCGCCCCCTCCCCCGTTCCCGTTCCCCCGCCCCCTCTCACGTCTCTGCAGCTCCTCCGCCCGCCGGTACCGCCCGTAGCGCTCGGCGAAGGCCGCGTTCACGCGGAGCCCCGGCCCCGCCATCGCCCCGCGCCGCTTCCGGTCCTCCAACGGTCACGTGACCAGGCTCCGCCCCCGCCCTTAAAGCGGCAATGCCATGAGGAAAGGTGGGGGGGGCCCACACGGGGAGGGGTCACGGAGATGTTGTGTGTCCCCCCCCCAAACTCCGCCGCGGTTCGGCCAATCGGAACGCGGCGCCCGGAGCAGGGCGGACGCTGATTGGCTGGAGGGGCCCGGGGGGGATTCAAAATGCGCACGTGGGAGCCCCCCCACGTGGGGGACGTGAGGCTCCCACCACGCAACCCCCCCCCCATGAGACCCCCAAGGGGACACCCCCCCCCTGAACCTCCCCCACTTGAGACCCCCCCCCTGAGACCCCCACATTGAGACCCCCTCCCCTAGAGACCCCCCAAAACTCCCCCCACTTGAGACCCCCCCATGACATCCCCCACATGAGACCCCCCCCAATAAGATCCTCTCCACCCCCCTCCACTTGGGACCCCCTCATTGAGACCCCCCGATCCTTCCCCGCCTGAGACCCCCCCATTGAGACCCCCTCCCCAAGAGACCCCCCCAAACTCCCCCCACTTGAGACCCCTCCATGACATCCCCCACATGAGACCCCCCCAATAAGATCCTCTCTATCCCCCTCCACTTGAGACCCCCCTGACCCCCCCCACCTCAGACCCCCCCATTGAGACCCCTTCATTGAGACCCTCCCATTGAGACCCCCCCAAAACTCCCCCCACTTGAGACCCCCCCAATAAGATCCCCTCGACCCCCTCCACTTGAGACCCCCCCATTGAGACCCCCTCCCCAAGAGACCCCCCCCAAAACTCCCCCACTTGAGACCCCTCCATGACATCCCCCACATGAGACCCCCCCAATAAGATCCTCTCTATCCCCCTCCACTTGAGAGCCCCCTGACCCCCCCCACCTCAGACCCCCTCCATTGAGACTCCTTCATTGAGACCCTCCCATTGAGATCCCCCCAAAACTCCCCCCACTTGAGACCCCCCCAATAAGATCCTTTCGACCTCCCCTCCACCTGAGACCCCCCCATTGAGACCCCCTGATCCTTCCCCACTTGAGACCCCCCCATGACATCCCCCACATGAGACCCCCCCAATAAGATCCTCTCCACCCCCCTCCACTTGAGACCCCCCCCATTGAGACCCCCTGATCCTTCCCCATTTGAGACCCCCCCATGAGACCCCCTCCCAAGAGACCCCCCCAAAACTCCCCCCACATGAGACCCCCCCCAATAAGATCCTCTTGACCCCCCTCCACTTGAGACCCCCCTGAACCCTCCCCACTTGAGACCCCCCCATTGAGACCACCCAATCCTTCCCCACTTGAGACCCCCCCATGAGACCCCCTCCCAAGAGACCCCCCAAAACTCCCCCCACTTGAGACCCCCTCAATAAGATCCTTTCGACCTCCCCTCCACCTGAGACCCCCCCATTGAGACCCCCTGATCCTTCCCCACTTGAGACCCCCCCGAGACCCCCTCCCAAGAGACCCCCCAAAACTCCCCCCACTTGAGACCCCCCCCAATAAGATCCTCTTGACCCCCCTCCACTTGAGACCCCCCTGAACCCTCCCCACTTGAGACCCCCCCATTGAGACCACCCAATCCTTCCCCACTTGAGACCCCCCCATGAGACCCCCTCCCAAGAGACCCCCCAAAACTCCCCCCACTTGAGACCCCCCCAATAAGATCCTCTCAACCCCTCTCCACTTGAGACCCCCCCTCGTTGAGACCCCCTGATCCTTCCCCACTTGAGACCCCCCCATGAGACCCCCCCGATCCCCTGCAACAAATGCCTGCCTTGCCCTCTTCCTTCACCTTAAGGGGTGTCCTTTTTTGAGCACCCAAATGAGCTTAAAATTTGCTCTTTTTCTAAATTTCAGGCTATGTCCCCAAAATCCCCTATATACCGCGGCTAACCCATTGTTATCCTGGGGGATAATCCTTAACCGATCCCCGTTATTAATAAATCTTTTCCCTTAATAGGTGTCTATTCAGGAGTTTGTCTTTTTATTAATTTTAGGAGTAATTACAATAAAATTCCCACAAAAATTTAGGTTATACTCTTTGATGTTCAAGTTTGTCTGATGGTTAATTTGGTTTCTCCAGGTTCGGATGTTATTTTCCACTCCTTCACGGGACCTTTTACTCTCAACACACATCTCCGTCCTTTCTCAGCTGTTTCCGTAATTAATTAAGCATAATCAAATTAATAAAGTCCTTCCCAGAGGGGCGATAGGTTTTATTCTTTCCATGTTTTTATCAGAACCGTATCTCCCAGTTTGAACTGGTGAATTGCAAATCCTAAAGGCGGCGTTTGAGCCAGCATCCCAATTTCTCTCCGCTCCTGGAACCTCCTCCCAACGTTAATTCTCTTTTTCGGGATGCCACGATCCTCAACGACATCGTTCCCTAGAGGCATCCCTTGGGCATAAGGCAGATAACATTTCATGCCATATATATAACATTTCATATGGCCATAATCCAGTCTCCCAAAAACCAATTTGATTTTTTTGGAAGTAAGGCATGTGCCCTGCTCAGAGCCAACGTACTGGATTATCCCATATCGAGGTATTAATTTTTCTAATAAATTTTTAATTAATTTAATTTAATTAATTTAATTTAATTAATGTAATTTTTAATTAATTTAATTAAAATTTTAATATTTTTTCTGCCATAGCTCATGCTACGGGATAAGTTTCTACCCCTTGTGTTAATTGATCTCCTATTACCAATAAATACTTTATCCTCCCTACCTTGGGCAATTCGGTGAAATCCACTTGTACTTCCTCAAAAACCCTCCAAGCTGTTTTTCTCCCTCCCGCGGCCGCTCGTCGAAACCCTTTCTTATTTATCTTCCCACAAGTTAAACAACCTTGGGTAATTTGCTTTGCTATTTCAAAAATCCCAATGCAACCAGACTGCGGAAACGCTCACTTTACGCCTTTGTGCCCCAATGTTTTTGTGCATGCAAACGCCCCAATATTTGCAATCCCTTTTGGCAATATCCCTCGCCCGTTGGGCAGTGTCCATTTTCCTAATTTAGCCCCTATTTTCTCCAGTTTTGGTTGATCCTCATACTCCGTCTTCCTTGGGGTTGCTGATGACCCCAGTGGGGTTCCACATTCGGCTGGTTTTGGTCTCCTGGGGGTCCTGCCTGATTCTGTCTTTCCCAAATTCCCCTTTCCTAAGATCCCTAAAATGGATCCCTAAAATGGGCTGTATTTCTTCCCAGGTATAAATATTCGGGGCCTAGGAACTGGTCCATTTTTTAGCTACTCCAAGGGGGTCACTAATAGGGTCCAACGGCTCCCATTTATCACCTTTTTCTTTTTCCTGTTTTTTTTTTTTTTTTTTTTTTTTTTTTTTTCTTCAAACTTCTTGTCTGCTTTTAGTGTAAATACTGAGGCTGGAAAAGGATGTGAAATCCTGATCCGTAATCCTGCATAATCACCTTCCTGGCTAAAAGGTTCCTTTGAATTAACACGGATATTTAAGGTCTGGCACATCCAGTCTTCAAAAGATCCAAAAAAAAGGCCAAAAGACGTGGTCTTAAAGGCTCCTTTGGCCATTCTATCATAAAATACTGAGCATTTTTAATTGACTTTTTCCTTTTCCTCTGTCATTCCAATTTCTAATCGTTATTCCTAATGGACTTTTTTGGTGCTATGTCTGGCAATTTGCTCCCTTTCTTCTGGTCCCTGGTCTTCGATTTCATCTGACCCATCTAGGGATTTTACTATGGCAATTCCCGCAGCCCCTGCTTGCAAACAAATCCCTAAAAAAAAAACAATGCTATACGCCTTAAATATTTTATTTACGCCTCCATCGTCCTCGTTTGGATCTTTGCATGCAGAATTACGGGCAAAATCAGTGCTGCAGCCAGCAAGGGAGCCCTTAAAAAAAAAATCAAAATTTTTGCTTGCCTTTATTCAGGATGGCATCAGCCCCAAACAGGAGCCAAAAATGCTGGGGAGCCTCTCCTAGATGAAATCAGGATTCAGGACCCAAAGCCCTCCTGGACGAGCCCCCAGTTGTTATAAATGACCGAGTCCCGAATAGGATTAGAATCAAAGTTTACAATTAATTAAACAAACAGAGGCGAGCAAACAGTGCTGGGTGTGCCGGGCGGCTCTGCTCCACCACGACTCACCCCAGTTCCGTCGGGCGGCTGGTTTTAGAAAAAGCAGGGTTATTCTAATTAGCTCCCAAAATCCGAACCCTCCCTCTGGGGGGGGTCTCTCGTGCTGAAGGCTCGTAGTCTTCCTCCCAGGCTTTGTCCTTCAGCTTCCCTTTTCTCCTTATTTGGTCATCTCTTGGCCAGATCTCAGAGATTTGCAGCAGTTTTTGACAACTCTTATCCCCTAGACTGAGTCTAGAGGATAACACCCCACAGGAGTCTAACACCCCCCTGAGGCCCCCCCACTTGAGACCCCCCTGTGAGACCCCCCCTTCCCATGACACCCCCCAATAAACTTCCCCCTCTTGAGACCCCCTATGAGAACCCCCCATGAGACCCCCATCTTGTGAGACCCCCCCCATAACACCCCCTACCTGAGATCCCCCCCCCCACATTAGACCTCCCCACACTTGAGACCCCCCCGAACCTGAACCTCCCCTACCTGAGGTCCTCCCCCCCATGCCCCCCCCCCATAAAAACACAGAGACGGCCCCATCACAGTTTCCATCTTTATAGGGACAGAGGTGAAGTGGGGGGGGGTCTCCAAGGTGGGCGGGGGAGGGGGGTCTCCATGGCGTGTGTGGGGGTCTCCATGGGGAGAGTCCTTGGGGAGGGGGGGCATGACTGTGGCCCCCCCTTAGCTGGTGCGGAGCTGGTAGTCTGTGGGAGGGGGAGCAGCGGTGAGGGAGGGTCCCCAAAGTGTGTGGGGGAGTCCCCAAAGTGTGTGGGGGGGTCCCCAGGGCGGGGGGGGGGTCCCACTCACCCCCGCTCTGGGTGATGTAGCGCACCCAGGGCAGCGCCTGGTAGCCGCTCTTCTCGATGATCTTCATGTACCGCACCTGGTGGCACGGTGGTTGGGGACGCTGTGTGCCCCCCCCACCAAAAAAGGGGACCCCGGTACCCCCCCCCAAAACCCAGGACACCCCCATGGGCCATTTCCCCACTCCCCTGTCCCCAAAACATCAGGGTCACCTCCCTGGGGCCACCCCAACCCCACAGCCCCTCCGATGCGTCCCTCCTGCCCCGTCCCCAAATCCATTGTGGGGGACCCCAAAGCCACCAGCCCCCCTCCCCAAGAAAAGGGGACCCTGACACCCCCCTCAAAAACCCAGGACACCCCCATGGGCCGTGTCCCCACTCCCCTGTCCCCAAAACATCGGGGTCACCTCCCAGGGGCCACCCCAACCCCACAGCCCCTCCGATGCGTCCCTCCCATCCCATCCCCAAATCCATCGGGGGGGGACCCTGAGGCCACCAACCCCCCCCCCCACATCCCCATTTGTCACCTGGATGCCCGAGACGGTGAAGTAGGGGATCTCGAAGCGGACGGCGATGGGCGGCCGCCCCTCATCTTCCTCCTTCTCCACGCTGGGCAGCCCGAAGTGGGCGCGCATCAGGTGCTCCTTGCCCCCCTGCGCGGCACGGCGCGGCTGGGGACACCCCCGTGGGGACAACGGGCACCCCATGTGTGTCCCCCCCCTGACACCCAACCGAGCCTCACCGGGAAGGATTTGATGCTCCAGACGACGAGGTTCTTCTCGGGGAGGTACTTGGCCGAGCCCACGCTGGTCTTGAACTTGGGCGAGTCGGCGTCGCTGGGCACCGGCACCGCGATCTCCACGCCGTTGGCCACCGACTGCTTCTTGAACTGCGCCTTGGCCTGGGGGGGGGGACACACACGCGGTGACGGGGGGTCAACGGGTGACCTCGGTCCCCTGGGACGCCCCCCGGGGCGCCTCACCTTGACCATGATCTCGACGCGGCTGTGGGAGAACTTCTCGATGACCGACTCGATCCAGATGAGCGGCTTGGCGCGGGTGCCCAGGCGGTAGGACATGAGCTCGAAGTCGCCGTCGGGCGGCACGAAGGAGATGGTGCGGTCGCTGTCGAAGCGCGAGAGCCGCACGCACTGGTGGAACTTCACGTCCTCCAGCTCCACCGACTTGTTCTTGCCCCCTGCGGACGGGCGGCGCCGTGGGGGACGCGAGCCACGCCGGGGGACGGGGACAGCCCCCCCCCGATAGCCCCGAGCCCACCCCGGCGGCACTCACGTCCCGTCAGCTCGAAGAGGACGCGGTCGTTCAAGCCCAGGCGCAGCTCGGGCATCCCCGAGAGGAAAACCTTCAGCTTGATGGTGCCCACCACCTCGCTGAGCAGCACGCTGCCGTTGGCGCTCACCTGCGGGCACCGGACACAGCGCTGGTCCCGGTCTCACCACCACCAGTTTGGTCCCAGTCCCACCACCACCACCATTGTGGCCCCAGTCCCACCAACATCACCCAGTCCCACCAACATCACCGCTTTGGTCCCAGTCCCACCACCACCACCACCAGTTTGGTCCCAGTCCCACCACCACTACCACCACCACCAGTTTGGTCCTGGTCCCACCATCACCACCGTTATGGCCCCAGTCCCACCACCACCACCACCGGTTTGGTCCCAGATCCACCACCACCACCAGTTTGGTCCCAGTCCCACGACCACTAGCAGTTTGGTCCCAGTCCCACCACCACCACCAGTCCAGTCCCAGTCTCATCACCACCAGTCTGACCCCACTACCACCACCACCAGTTAGGCCCCAATCCCACCACCACTAGCAGTTTGGTCCCAGTCCCACCACCACCACAAGTTAGGCCCCAGTCCCACCATCACCACCAGTTAGGCCCCAATCCCACCACCACCATTACGGTCCCAGTCCCACCACCACCACAAGTTAGGCCCCAGTCCCACCACCACCACCATTATGGTCCCAGTCCCACCACCACCAGTTAGGCCCCAATCCCACCACCACCAGCAGTTAGGCCCCAGTCCCACCACCACCACCAGTCTGCTGCCATTCCTACCACCACCATCATTATGGTCCCAGTCCCACTGCCACCACCACCAGTCTGACCCCAGTCCCACCACCACGAGTTAGGCCCCAGACACCACCACCAGCAGTTTGGTCCCAGTCCCACCACCACCACCATTATGGTCCCAGTCCCACCACCACCAGTTAGGCCCCAATCCCACCACAACCAGCAGTTTGGTCCCAGTCCCACCACAACCACCAGTTAGGCCCCAGTCCCACTACCACCACCAGTCCGCCGCCATTCCCACCACCACCACCATTATGGTCCCAGTCCCACCACCACCACCACCAGTCTGATCCCAGTCCCACCACCATCAGTCAGGCCTCATTCCCACCACCACCACCATTATGGTCCCAGTCCCACTCCCACCAGTTTGACCCAGTCCTCCCCCCAGCCCCACCAGTTTGGCCCCAGCCCCCCTCCCCACCATCTCCATCCCCATCTCCATCCCCAACCCCACCACCACCGCCACCCCTCACCGGCAGGCACCCAGCAGCAGACCCCGCCGCGTTGGGACCCCCACCCCACAATTTTTTTGGCGCCCCCCCCCTCTCACCAGCAGGTTCATCGACTCGATCACGTCGATGAAGACCTCGTTCTTCTTGTACTTGATGCCTTCGGAGCGCCAGGACACGGCGTTGGTGACGGTGGTGGGCACGCGGGACTTGCCGGTGTCCAGCTTGTTGCCCTCCTGCGTGATGTACCTGCAGGATGGGGGTGACGGGGGGGGTCCTGCCCCCCAAAAAAAAGCCCCCCAAACCCCTGCCCAACTCACTCCTGGAGGATTTTGCTGTCGGTGGTCTGCGGGAAGCCAAAGTCCATCAGCTCGTCCAGCAGCTCGTAGACGATGACGAAGTTGTCCCGGATGCTCTCCTCCTCCAACTCCTTGAAATACTCCGAAAAAACCTGATGGGACACACACACACACAAGGGGGGGGGCTCCCACTTTTGTCACCCCCCCCGCCGGGCTCAGCGACCCCCCCAAACCCTCCCCCCAGCCTCACCTCCACCACCTTGTAGAGGAAGGAGAAGACCAAGGAGGCGTTGGCGTTCTTCTTGGTGGTGGCCACCACTGGGGAGGGGGTTAAGGAAAAGTGACGGGATGGGGGGGGGGTGTCCCGGGGGGGTTTTGGGGGGGGTCAGGAAGGATACGGTAGAGGTTGGCGTGCTTGATCCAGAGGAAATGAACCTGGCCACGGGTCAGCAGCGGGGACAAAGCCCCCTCCTCCTCCTTCTGCAGCAGCAGCCCCATGAAGTGGTCGATCTCCCCCATGCTCACATCCCCCTTGTAGTTACGGCTGATGAGGGGCTGGGGGGGGGGGGTTGAAATTAGGGGGGGGGGTCAGCCGGGACCCCCCCCTTTTCCATCGCACACCCCAATTCTCCACGTGCGTGGCGGTGCCATGGTTGGGTGGGGGGGGGGGGGGACCCACCGTGACCTTGGCTGACCTTGAGGCCGGGACCCGGGGGGTGGTGGGGTCCTGGGGGGTGGGTGGGGAGTGTTGGGGGGGGGGGTTCAAGAAAAGGGGGGGGGTCTCACCTTCCCCTTGAGGTCCAGGATGAAGACGGCGGAGGCGGACATGGCCCCGGCTGCCGCTTCCTCCTTCCCCGTCACCTGCGCCAGGTGAGCGGCTGCGCCCATGGCCCGGTGGGGCCTTAAAGGGGACGGCTCCGGGGGGGGGGGGGAAAAAGGGGTGGGGGGGGTCAGGGCTCATTGGGGTGGGGGTCACAGCCCCCAGCCCCATTTGTGGGGGGGCCCCAGGCTCGGCTTGGCCTTGGCCTGGGGGCTGCGGGTGGCTCCGTGCCCGCGTGGGGATGGGGGATGGGGAGGGGTGGGGGGCAAGGATGGGGGGGGGCACAAGTTGGGGGGAGGGTCATGGTTTAACTGGGGGGGGGGTGAGCAGTCCCCCAGCACATGGTGACCCCCATGTGTGGGGCTGGAGGGGCTGGAAGCCCCTTCCTAGCTGGGACCCCCCCCATCCTGGCCTGGGCTGGGGGGGTGGGCATCTGTGCAGGCCCCCAACACCTGGGACCCCCCTCCCTCACCCTGGGGGGCTCCCCACAGCCCCCCCACACACACCCTGGACCCCCACCCTGATCCTGGGGGGGCTCCCTGCAGCCCCCCAACACCCAGCCCCCCCCCCGATCCTGGGGGTCTCTCTGCAGCCCCCTTCCCCACCCTGGACCCCCCCCGATCCTGGGGGTGCTCCCTGAAACCCCCCAAACCCCAGGACCCCCAACCCACCCTGGGGGGGCTCCTTGCAGCCCCCCCCCAATCCCCAGGACCCCCTACCCATCTTGGGGGGGGCTCCCAACAGCCCCCCAACACCCAGCCTCCCCCAAATTTGGGGGGCTCCCTGCGGCCCCCTCCCCTACTCTGGAACCCCCCCGATCCTGGGGGGGCTCCCTGCAACCCCCAAACCCCAGGACCCCCAACCCACCCTGGGGGGGCTCCCTACAGCCCCCCAACACCCGACCGTACCCCCCCCCCTCCCGCAGCACCGAGCCCAACCGTGATGGGCAAAAGGCAGAAGGGGGGGGGGGTGTGAAAAAAAGATTGGGGGGGGGTCAAGGGGGCGGGGTCAAGAGGAGGGGGCGTGGTCAGGGGGCGGGGGGCGGGGGCACGGTAACGGCGCCCCCCCCGGTTGCTCGGAGCCGCAGGCGCAACGCCCCGGGAGCGGCCGGAACGGCAGCGGCGGGGGGGGGGGACCCGGAGCATCCCCGAGCCCCCGCCATGGGGGGGAGGAAGGACCCCGACGGCGCTTACGGTACCGGGGCGGGGAGGGGACCCCCGGGACCCCCAGAAACCTTGGGGACCCCCGGGACCCCCCCCATCGGTTGTCTCCTGGGGGGGTCCCCCTGGTTTCCCCACCCGTTTTGGGGGTCCCCTCCCCGGCAGCAGCCTGCCTGGGGGGCCCTGAGGTGGGCTGCTGGGGGGAGGGGGCAGCGGGGGGCTGGGGACCACCAAGGTGGGGGGGTCACCATGTTTTGGGGGTCAGCAGGTTTTGGGGGGCACCAGGTTTCGGAAGCACCGAATTTGGGGAGGGGGGGGCACTGGGTTTGGTGACTGCCACGCGTGGGGGCTGCTGGGTTTGGGGAGCACTGAGGGTTTTGTTTTTTTTTGGGGGGGGGTACGGTCACCACCGAGTGTGGGGGCCACCAGGTTTGGGGGCTGCCGGATTTGGGGGCCACCAGATTTGGGGGTCACCAAGTTTGGGGGCCACCAAGTTTGGGGACTGCTGGGTTTGGGGGGTGCAGCAGGTTTGGGGAGCACTGAGTTTTGGGGAGGTGGGGGCGTACGGTCAGCACCAATTGTGGGGGTCACCCGGTTTGGGGACCACCCAGTTTGGGGTCACCCCGTTTCGGGACCACCCTGTTTGGAGATTTTGGGGTTTTGGGCCCGGTGGTTCGGGGTCTGCTGGATTTGGGGACCACCGAGCGTGGAGGTTGTGAAGTTTTGGGACCACCAAGTTTAGGGGTCGCTGGCTTTGAAGGTGACCCCCAAAGCTTTTGGGGACCACCGAGTTTTTTTTGGGACCCCCCAAAGCTTTGGGGACCACCGAGATTTTTTTTTGGGGGGGGGGCGAATTGTGCGGGGTGAGACGGGGACAGTCCCAGGGTGGGGCACTTGGGGTGCCACCACCCGGACCTGGGCGCACTGATTGGTGCCACCGTCCTCCGACACCCACCCGGGGGTCCCGGCGTCCCCACAGGCTGGGGGGGGGCACAGCGGGGTCACAAATCTTGGCCCCCCCCCCGTGCTCCTCTTTTGTTTCCGCGACGCATCCGGGGGGTGCCGAGCCCGGCGCCCTGACATCACCGGCAGCCTATGAGCCGCGGGGACATCGCGGCGCCACCGTCCCCAACCCTCCGCCCAGCGCCACGCTTCTTTATTTATAACCCCCCCCAAAAAAAAATATTTATTTACACCCAAAATATTTCTTCCTACCCCCCCCCCCCCAAATATAGCAAACCGCCGGGAGGATGAAAAACAACACCAAACCCGGCTGCGGGCACCGCGCCACGCCACCGGCGGACCGAGGGTGGTGCCCGCCGTGGGCGTTGGGTGCCGGGGCGAGGAAGAGGAGGGGATGAAGGGGATGAAGCAGTTGTGGGGCGAGGATGAGGATGAGGAGGGGATGAAGCAGCTGCGCCTTTAATGTTGTAGCGTGCACGGCTGGCTGCTCGCTGCCGAGGTTCCTGGCACGCCCAGGGCTGAGCGCGCAGGGGCTGTTTTGGGGCGAGCGGCGAGGGGATGGGGGACCAGGAGGAGGAGAACTACTACGGGAAGCACGGTAAGGGTTGGGGGGCGGCAGGATTTGGGGAGGGGGGCGCGGGGCTCGCCCCCGAACCCCAGTGCCGGAGGAACCTTGGGCGGCAGCGAGGAGTAGGGTGCAGGAAGTTGGAGAGGCCGAGATAAGGCTGAGCGCGAGCGCGGCCCCCGCTTCGGTTCACCGGGCTTCCTGCCGCGAGGGTTCGTTAACACCGAGGCCTTCGTTAGCGCGGAGGTTAATGAGGTTAATGGGTAACGAGGGCGACCGGGTGGATCTGCTGTTTATGGGGCGGTGGCGCCGAGGGCAAGGGTCGAGCCCCCCGAGTGGGTGTTTTGGGGTGCGGTGTCCCCCCAAAAAATGCTGGGGTTGCTCCGTGGGGGCGCAGCTCCCCGGGTACCCTGAAATTGATGGGTGTGGGGCTGCTCTGGGCACCCCAAAATCAATGTGCATGGTGTGGGGCTGCTCCAAGCACCCCAAAAAAAAAGTGTGCGTCGTAGGGCTGCTCTGGGCAACCCAAATCTGATCTGTGCGTGGTGTGGGGCTGTTCTGGGCACCCCAAAGCTGGTGTGTGCAGCACGGGGTTGCTCCAAGCACCCCAAAACCAATGTGTGTGGTGTGGGGCTGCTCCAAGCTCCCCAAAAGCGATGTGAGCAGCACGGGGCTGCTTCTAGCACCCCAAAACAGATGTGTTCCCTGCGTGGGGCTGCTCCAGGCACCCCAAAAGTGCCTTGAATCAGACGTCTCCCTGGTAGCAGGCACTCCAGGCCCCCCCAAACTGATGTTTCCTTGTCTGGGACTGCTCCGGGCACCCCAAAAGTGACTTGCCCTGGTACGGGGCTGCTCTGGACACCCCAAAATTGACTTGTCCTGGTACGGGACTGCTCCCAGCACCCCAGAACTGCCTCGAAGCAGACGTATCCCAGCTCCCGGCCGCTCCCACACCGAAACTGGCCTCGCTGGCTGAATTCCCACCCTAAAAATAACGAGGGGCGAAGGAGCGCGGCTTAACCACCGGGCTGCCGGGCAGGAGCAGGGCGCAGGCTTCGGGAGCCGGGGAACGATTTTGGAAAGAGCTGTGGGGAAACTCGCTCTCCAAGGGGATAATTGCTTCCACGCCTGGAAAGCCAAGGCGCTGAAGGAGGGAAATGGCAGCTGGAGATTATTTTCCTCCTGCTCCTGGTTCTCCCAGGCCTTTTGTTTAAAAACTGGGGGGGAGAGTTGGAAATTTGGGGCTCCCCGGTCTGCACGGGGACGGCTCCTGCTTTGCTCGCGTCTGATTTGGGTTTTTGTGCATCGCTGTCACAAGGAGGGGAAAACAAACCTAAAGGGTGGGCTGGGACTTTTCCAGCAGCAATGGGAACGGGATGGGGGGGTCGTGTGGCTGTGTCCCCCCCTCCCCAGCAGCCTGGTCTCGGTGGCCCCATCGGGTTCCCAAGGGCGCGGAGGTTTCCCTGCCTCCTTGGGGAGGCGTCAGGGAAGCGAAGGGAAAACTCCTCCTCCCCCCCCCCCATAGTGGTTTTTCCAACTGAGCCGGTTTGTTCTCCATCCCCGCAGGGACGCCGCAGAAATATGACCCGAAATTCAAAGGTCCCATTTACGACAGGTAAGAGCAGCCCCCCCCCATCCCCAAATCCCCCTGGTTGGGACCGGTGGCCGTGCTCACGTCCCCCCCTCTCCTCTTCCCGGCCGCAGGGGCTGCACCGATGTGGCTTGCTGCATCCTGCTGGTCCTCGCCATCGTGGGCTACGTCGTGGTGGGCATCGTGGGTACGTATGGTCCCGGGGGGGTTGGGGGGGTCCGAGGGGCTGTGAGCTCCTCGGATGAAACAGAGGTGGGGATGGGGCAGGAGGTAACCAAAACTGCCCCCGTTTTATCCCCACTGCCCAGCTTGGACGCACGGGGACCCCCGGAAGGTGATTTACCCCACCGACAGCCGCGGGCAGTTCTGCGGCCATCAGGGAACGGCCAACGAGTAGGTGCCCCCCCCCCCAAATTCTCCCTCCTCGTGTGCTGCTCGCCGGCGTCGCGATGCCCTCAGGGTGGCATTTTTTGGGCCGTTTTCTTCGCAGGGGCAAGCCTTTCCTCTTCTACTTCGACATCGTGAAGTGTGCCAGCCCGCTGGTGCTGCTGGAGTTTCAGTGCCCGACCACGCAGGTATTTCTGGATGCCCCACCGGCGCAGCTTTTTTCTTTAAAAAAAAAAGAGAAAAATGCCCCCAAATGAAAGGTTCCCCACCTCCTCCTCTCCTTCCTTGTTCCAAGATCTGTGTGAGCAAATGTCCGGACCGGTTCATGACCTACCTGACTGCCTCCAGGGTGCCCGCCAACCTGGAGTACTACCGGCAGTTCTGCGTGCCCGAATTTCGGGACGTGAGCAAGGTGCGTCGGGCTGCCCCGAGCGGGGATTTGTCCCAGCCCAGCCCCAGAA